TATATATATATATTTAGAATTCCTGCAAACTTCAGTCTAATTTTATCAGAATCACATCCCCAGGGTTCTTTCCTAGTAATTTTCTTATTATTGAGACACACTACGGGACACTTAAATGAGGAGAGGTTTATTTTGGCTCGTAGTTCTAGTCCATGATCCTCTTGCTTCAAGACAGAAACAGCATGGTGGAAGAGCCTGGGGAGAGGACAGCTGCTGTGATAGTTAGGAAGGAGTGAGAGAGTGTGTGTAGAGAGGAGCAGGGGAGGGCGATATATCCTTCCATGTCATGCTCCAGTGACCTACCTCTTCCAACTAGACCCTCCCATCTAACAGCACCTTTGACTCTGATGCATATAGCACCCCCACAATTCAATCACCTTCCAAAATTCCCACCTCTGAACACATGAGGCTTTTGGAGTATATTCTACAACTAAAGCATAACATTCTACCTCTGGACCCAAAAGGCTTATGTCTATCTCTTTATACAAAAGGCATGTAGTCCATCTCTAAGAGTTGCCGAAGTTTTAATAATCTCAGCATTCTCAAAAAGTTGAACTCCAAAGCCTCCCCTAAGAATCCAGGCAAACTCTTAGCTGTGAGCTCCTAGAAAAATAAAAAAGAAAGTTAAACACTTACAACATGCAATGGCACGGGATAAACAGCCCCATTGCAAAAGGAAGAAATAGGGGAAATAGAAAGAATTCTGATCAAAACAAGACCAGTGCCCAGAAGAGCAAACATAAAATCCAGTAGCTCCATGTCTAGCACCTGGGGCAAGTTGTAGTAAGATATGAACTCCAAAGAGCTTGTGTGGCCCTGCCCCTATGCAGTCCTCATGACCTCTCTCTTGGGCTGACTCTACTCACTGCCTTCATCTTTCCTTGGCAGATACTCCATATTTATGGCATCTACAACTTCCTATGATCTCTGCTGCACTTTCAGCTTTACCCTCACAGCTTCACATACGGCCCTCTCAGAAGCATACTGTATGGCGTACAAGGCTGCCTCCTAAAACCTGAGTGGACACCTCCTTGCTCCCCTGATTTTTGTATTGTGCATGTCTATAATACCAGTACCATGAGGATGATGTGAAGGTCTCTTGGCAGCAAGAGCAGTTGGTAGGCCCTCGTGGATCATGGCTCTGAGTTCCAGGATGGCTGAACTCCAGGAAACTATTTCTTAATTGGCACTGAATGAGCTGGACTCCCTAAGGTTCTCTTCTCAAAGCAAAATCTTTTACTTTTGTGCCTTTGAGCCAGCTAAGGATAAGGTCTTGATGATTCCTGTAATGCCTTCAAGGCATCTTTCCTAGTGTCCTAATGCAAAGTAGTTGGCTTCCTTTTAAAGCTAATCTTTTCATCCAAGCTCTCCTCAGCCCCAACTTTATAGGTTCCAACTTTGCAAACACTTCTTTTCTGGCTATGAGCAATGTTATTTTAATTATTCAGTTCTGGATTTTTTTTTTCCTGAATCTCATGGTAGATATGACTGAAAGCTACCAGCAGTATCCATGGCACAGCCTGAATGTTGGGCTGTCTTGAAATCTGCTTTACTAGATGAACTAGTCTACTGTTGTTAATCTCAATCTCCTGCACTCACTGAACATGGGCAAAATGTAGACAACTTTTCTGCCAAAATGTAGTACATTTGGCCCTTAGTTTAATTCTCAAAGGACTTCTTGCTCCAAGCTGAGACATCCTGAGCCTGGCTTTTACTATCTGCATTTTTATCAGCATTCCTGTTTTTACCCTCTGACCAGAATCTTCTATCAAACTAGCTTTTAGCATTTTGGGCTTTTCTAGCACACATCTCCAAAACTTTCCAACTCTGCCTGTGAACCATTTCCATAGACTTCTTTTTTTTTTTTCTTTTTATTGAGTTTATTGGTACAATCTAGGTATACAATACAGTTACATTCATCATTGGGATTCTGTACCTTTACATAATAGGTCTTGATTCTCATTTTTTCCCCTTATCCCTGCCCTCCCTTCACCCCCTCCTACCCTCCCCATTTGCAAACACTTTATTTCCATTTTTCAGTTTCTCATATTTTTTTCCTCTCCCTTATTACCTTTCCCCCACCCTTCCCACTTTCCCTACACATTTAGCCCTTTACTTCATATTTCACATTATTAATTATCTCATTAGGATCCTGTGTACTATTATAGTTTTTCACACCAAAGAAACTATTCGGTATTCAGTTAAAGAAATCTCTGTATGAACATTAAAAATAGGGAATCCTAAAATAAAACTAAAAAGGAAAGTAAAAGAGAAAAGGCAATGATGTAAGATTAAAATAATCCTTAATTCTGGAGATGAAAATGGTCCCTGAACATATTTAAATTGCTTCTTGCTCTTATAGTCTTATCTTATTCTTTTTTTTTCATTATTTAGAGAATACTTTATTGTTTCTGTAATCAAACCCACGTAGATATGACCTTACATATTTAGTACAATGTGTTACCCCTGTATACATGGAAAAAAAATAAAAAATAAAAATAAACAAATTAACATTTCTAGACCAATATGGCTGTCCATTTCTGTACAATGCCAACTCAACACAGTAAATTGGGAAGACAAAACGAAAAGAAACAAAGAAAAGAATAATATCCAGAAAACATCAAAGTTCTGTTGCTGTTGTGGTACCTGGCACCATTTTTTTTATTAGCATCTTAATCATCATCTGGAAAGAGAACATTCTAGAGTAATATCATTAAATGTAGCTCTGATAAAGCATGGTCCCTACTATGTATCATAAAGCAGGTATAAGATATTTTACATTCATAGAGGTATGATACAGTACCATCCTAGATCAATAATACTAGAATCAGTTTTGGTTTGAAATTTACTTTGTCTGCAAATAAGATTGCTGCCCCTGTTTTTTTCTGGGCTCCTGTCCCATAGAGATTGTTTTCTATCTTTTCACTTTCAGTCTCTGGGCTTCTTTTTGCACTAGGTGTGTTTCTTGTATACAACATATTGTTGGATTTTGCTTCTTATTCCATTTTACCAGTCTATTTCTCTTGATTGGTGAGTTGAGGCCATTGACATTGCTGGTTATAACTGATATGTACTGACTTATTATTGACATGTTATTGGCCTTTTGTTGACTCTTTTTACTTTTTCACCTTCTCCTTTTAATTTCTTGCCTTGCCTATTTGATTTGCTCTGTTGGGCCTCATGGTGTTGTTGCCTTCATTGTCTTTTTCTAGGATCTTGTTTAGAATTGCTTGTAGTGCTGGTTTGGTATTCATGTAGTTTCTCAGGTGTTCTTTGTCGTGGAAGTGTCTTATTTCCCCATCCATTTTGAAAGAGAGTTTTGCTGGATACATCAGTCTAGGTTGGAGGTTGTTCTCTTTTAGTACTTGAAATATCTCATTCCAGGCTCTCCTTGCCCCAAGGGTTTGTGTTGAAAAGTCTGCTGTGATTCTGATGGGCTTTCCTTTGTATGTGATTTGTTTCTTTTCTCTTACTGCTTGTAGTATTTTGTTCTTCTGTTGGGTTTCTGGGATCTTGATTATTATATGTCTAGGTGTAGATTTTTTTTGATTGTAGCTAGTTGGGGTCCTATATGCCTCAGTTATCTGAATGTCAAATTCTTCCCCTCTGTTTGGGAAGTTTTCTGTCATTAATTCTGCAAACAGCTTTTTTAAGTCATTTGTATTTTCTCCTGCTACTTCATGTATTCCTATCAGTCTTATGTTATTCTTCTTTGCATCATCTAGGAGTTGTTGGATCGATTTCTCATGATCTCTTACTGTTTTTAAGAGACCTCTCTTTTCATGGTCACTGACTGCAATCTTATCTTCTATATCTGAGAGCCTATCTTCGCATTCTTTTATTCTGTTGCGTACACTTTCAATAGAGTGTTTAATCTCCTGGATATCTGTTTGAATCTGTTTTATGGATTCCATTTCTTTCCTATGTTGGGCGTTTATTTTTTCCATTTCTTTCTTATGCTGGGCCTTCATGGCTTCTATCATGGTCCTGAGCTCATCTATTTTTTTGTCAGTTTCTGCTCTAGAGTCTCGAATCACGACTTCCATTTTGCTCACTATCTCTATGGTTATCTGGGAAATTATTTCTGTTTTGAATTTTTCTAGAGCCTGATTGATCTGTTTTGTTACTTCCTGTGCTTTGAGTTCAGGGTGTCCTGGTGGTTCACTATTGGCCTTTTCATCCTCATTTGCCCTACTGTTTGCCATTGGTGGACTGGAAGTCTGTCCTTATGTCTTGCTTAAGTGTTTTCTCATTTTTATTTTTGTTGTCGGACTGTCCTTGGTTTAATCTCTGGGTTATCACCCAAATCTTCCTGATATATTTGCGCCCTAGCTTCTGCGTCTCTAATGACCCACAGACATTCTCCTCTTCATAACATCAGAGAAACAGCTCATCAAATCATCCGCAATGCTTTATCCCAACTGATACAATCAGCAACACATTAAGATCAAGCACAACTTGGACACTGACCACCTGTGGTAGTCACTAGTCTATCACCCTTAAATCATTTGAATTAAATTGAAATCAAGAAGCAGTCCAGAACATGTCTGCAGTGAACAAAATTTCAATATAGTGTATTTACCATTTAATGGCTCAGACAGAGCGAGGATGCAAGACCCCTGATCTCAGTTAGCTGATGGCTGAACCCCATGACGCTGACTGACCTCAGGCTGCAAGGCCCAGATTGAGTTCCCCAACCTTCTGAATGGTTGAACTCCACAACGTTCTATTACAGGTTTCCCACGCCCTTTCTTTAAAGATGTTCAAAGTTGGAAACTCAGAAAAATACCCTTGATGACCACCTCTGTCTTTTCAGAGTGGGTCCAAAGACTGACACAGGAGGTCTGAGAGTGCGGGGGAGGGACTTATGGGGGTTTAGGGGCGCCCATGCAGCTACCTTCCTGGCACTTGAGCGATGGCGGCTGGGTTGGGAGCAGGCGTGGCTCTCCTTCCCGTGGTGGATTGGGGCCCAGCCTACCTCCCTGCGCTTGAGCAATGGCTGCATAGACTTCTAAACCACATAACCAAGTAAAGTCACAGTAATGGCCAAAACCTGGTAACAAAATCTCTTTTAGTTGCCTTCTCATCACTGAAACATAATACTCAACACCAGCAATTTAAAGGAGGAGGGATTTATTTTGTCTCACAGTTCCAGTCGGTGGTCCACTGGCTCTAAGGCAGAAACAGTGTAGTGGAAGAGCCTAGGCAGAGGACAGCTGCTCATCCCATGACAGCTAGGAAGCAGAGAAAGTAGGAACAGCTTCTTCTGACCAGATCTCAACTCTTAACAGTACATTCAGCTCTGATGAGTATAGGTAGTACATGATCCAATCATTTTCCAAAAGCTCCACCTCTAAACACATGAGGCTTTGAGGGGACATTCTAGATCTAAACCATAACATACTCTTCTTTTATTGTATGGAGGAGGGCCTTGGAGACTGATAAATTTATAAGTCTCCTCAAATTATTGTAATGTTCAACCAAGAAGAGAATCACTGATCTAGGCAAATTATTAATATAAATGAAATTCAAGAAGAGGATTTTACTTAAAGGAGTAAAATTTTTCAATGCATTATATATTTATTATAGACACCAACATATCTATATCTACATATCTGGTACACTTCCATAAATAACTAATATAAACATATATTATTTGTTGTAGACCATTACAGCTAGAAGCAATCTGAGATGAAACACAAAGTCAAACTGTATGTCCTTGGTATCCCATGGTTTTGCTTGTCTTTCATCTGAACTCCCTCCAAAGTGCTAAATACAGACCAGGCCAATAGCAATTCTCTGCTGAATTATGTAAAAATGACCAGGTGGCTTTATTTACTTTTGAGGCTTAGACATCTAAGAATGTTTCCTCCATGATTAGTCTAAAAAGGTGGGTGACACTTCCTAATATTTATCCATGTGATAGTGGGAGAACAAAATTCTTTATTACATTTTGACTATTATAATGTCACTCAAGAGTACAAAAATGGACAGGGGAACATTTATCCACTGTAACTAAATAATTAATGTTATATATTTGTAGGTCCTACCGGTCCCCCTGGAGCTCCTGGAAGCCCTGGTATGTCCCTGATTTGTGGAGTACAAATAGAAGTACCATTTCGAAGAGTACACTGCTATTAAGTTTGTATTATTTATGCAAGACCAATGTTGTATTGATTAATCTAAGTATATTTCTATCTTCTTGTTATTTTTGTAGCCAGTGGTGGGAAAGAAAGCAGAAGTTAATACAAATTGATATATAAATTCTCCTTTTTACTTCTCAGTGGTTTTAACTAAGTATAAGGGCCTTATTGTCAGGGAATTTTCACAGTAACTTTGGGGTAGGAGTTGAGACCTTGAACCTCAGAGAAGGGACAGAAACAGGAAACAATAACATTACAGTAACTAGGTTGGCTGAAAACAACAGTTTTCATTATATATCACAAGTTGCATAAGGATGCCTAAGGCATATTTTTCTATGAAGTTTTAAATTTGAATGTGTGAGTCATTCAAATGCTTTGCTTTTGAGAGAGGAAGAATAGGATTAGGAATAGGTCTACGAGGGACCATCAATTAGAACTATACTGCATTTATTTCAAAGAAAACAAAAATAAAAAGGAAAAATATTTTATAAATCAGTATGGTGGGTTCCCTGCTATTATTTATATATTTTTCTTTTAATGCTGTATATTGAACTATTTCCTAATTTTGATTCTTAATTAAAAATTAAGTAGATCAAAGAACTAGATGTAACTATAATCACACTGTAAAAAATGCAAATGTATAAATGGAAAAATGTATGTGCATACATAGAAAAATGCACATCAAACTGTTAATGATGGGTCTCTATTTAAATTGGAATGTGCAAAAATATATTTTAGAAGTCTGACCAAAGATTGAGGCCCCTTGGCCAAGAACAGATCCCAGTGAGTGGAAAATTATAAGTTTGGAAACACATGTCAATCAGATGATTAGCCTTTGCGCTCGAATAATAAGAAATGATTAGGCATTACCTCAGCTGGTTTCTCAGCCAGTTGGTGGTGATATCTCCCTTCCTAATAGTTGAAATGTTTGCAGGGCAGAGACTCAAAACTGCTCCCTCCTCATAGCTCTATGACTTTAGGATTAAGGTGAGGCTTGTAGCTCCTGTGTCCTGACTTCTTTCCTCAGAGAAGCCTGCTTTCCCTGCCCTCTTTTATGCCTATGACAAATGGCAGGAATTAAGTTCAACTACAACTCTTGGTCTCTTTCCATTGGGGCACTAACTTTACTCTCTGATTTTAAAAATGAGCAAAATAAAATATATGGAAGAATTTCTCATGAGTCTTTATAAACGAAAAGTCTCTAGTGTCCCTCAAACTCTTTTCAGTTCCTCATAAAACGATACTTAAATTACATGTTAGAATGGGATGCTCTGCACCTTGACTCCCTATGGTCTAATTTAACAAGGCCATGGGTGAAGGAAGCAAGAATCTTCACCTTTTATTTTATATGCTTTACATATTCCTCAGTTGTAAATAAGAATGTATCACTTTTTCAACTGAAAAATAAATATGTATTAGTCAGGAAAGCAGTGAGAGTACCAGAACTTATTATTTTCTTGTAGGATCATCAAAGCCTGGCTTCCAAGGAGCCCCTGGACAGCCCGGCCGGAAGGGAAGCAAAGGGGGGCAAGGCACCCCAGGAGAGGACTCTGTAGGACCTCCTGGGTCCCCAGGCCATCTTGGTTCATCAGGCCCTGCAGGGCCACCAGGACCTCCAGGACCTCCAGGTAAAGATGCATTAGGGGAGCCCTTGGTGTACATTACCCTGTGACAGGTGTTTACAGATCAGGGACAGTAAACTGCACTCCCCACTCACCATTGGTCTGTGTGGATTTTATGAACCATCTTTCCAGTGGCGTTTCATGTCAGAAACTGCGCTGCAGGGGATGAGTTTGCAAATGCCCTTGGGTCTTCGCCTGAGTTCCTCATAAAGCAGAGCAGGGGAAGGCAGGAACAAAGGAGAGAAGCAGGCAAGGAGAGCTGGTTATCAAGTTGGCCTTGGCCGAATGCAACTGCTTGTTCAGCCCCTACAGTGTATCTCCCAAGCTGGCTCAGAACAGTCTGTCCCTGGGGAGCAAGAGGCAAGAATTTATCACCAGCTCCTGCTTCCCACGGGCCACAGCCTTGTTTTGCCCCACAGGACGGGGCTAACCAATGCTACCCCCAAAATACGTATACACATTTTCAGGCAGTGTGCATGATTCGCTGGGCATCCCATGCCTCAACATCAGAGGGAAACAGCAGGACAGGAGGCCAGGGGTGATGTCAGGTGAAGTGAGTCAGAGACCACAGAGCTCTGCGGCCAAAGGGTCTGACATGCTCTGAGACTCATGGCAGCTCATAGGTGCAATAGATCTTTGCGAATGGAGAGACCAGGGATTTGTCTGGATTGAACCCAGGGCCTTTGCACTAAGCTATATCTCCAGCCCTTTTTCATATTTTACTTTTTTAGGGGGGTACTGGGCATCGAACTCAGAACCTTACGCTTGTGAGACAGACACAGTACCACTGAGCTAAATCCCCAGCCCTTATATTTTACTTTTGAGACAGGATTTCACGAAGTCACTAAGTTGGCCCGGCTGGGCTCAAACTTGTGATATTTCCACCTCAGCTTCCCAGAGCGCTGGAGCTACAAGCATGCGCCTATACACCCAGCTCACTGCTGTACCTTATTACCAGTACCCTGAAGGCTCTGTGGTTCATATTCCTGTCTTCTAAAAGACTTCCTAGGAATCTTACATATGAGGGGTTTTTTTATTTGTTTCTTTCAAAGAGCTATTTGTTATTCATCGAAAATAGGGTTCTAAACTTAGAAAATCCAAAAGAATAACATGAAAAATTCTTAATTCATTATCCCATTAATAAAAAAATAATATCCAGGTATAAACTTATCTAGCTAGTAGGGGATAAATGTGGAAAACAAATCAAAACAATCAAATTAAGGGGTGGGGGTTTGGCTCAGTGGTTCTGCCACCTGCCTCACTAGGGCCCAAGTTTGATCCCTGCTACAAAAACAAAAAATTAAAACTCTTCACTCTATGCAAGGGATTTTTTTTCAAAAAAAGCAATTTCAAGTCTCTTTCAGGATGTTTAGCTTCTTTGTGATAAGGCTGGTGATCAGCTAGTGAACACTAGAGCTGAGACCAGACCTGGGGCCTGCAGGAGAGCGGCTCCCTCTGCCTAGATCCTCGAAGGCTGACTTTCCCCTCTCAAAGCAACACCTGTCTGTCCTTCAGGCTGCAGCTTCAAGTTCAACTCCCTGGAGACTCACTGAGCCCACACCCCACAGTCCCCACGCTTATCCTGACTATAGTCCAGTTTCCCCAGCAGGAATCAAAGCCTTTTACAAAAGTTCAGAGACTGTGTCTTGTTTGTGTACTATAAGTGCTGGAATAGTTTAGATGCTCAAATTATTTGTTGAATTAGGTGTGAACAGACTCTGGAAATGTAGTAAATACATACAAATATAGATAAGTCTGTGTAAACTGCCATCAGATTTGACTGCTTCAGGATGAATATCCAAGCATCTTGTCACAGAAAACAGCTAGGTAAAGTGGTGCATACCTGTAATCCCAGCACTTGGAAGACTGAGGATCAAAAGTTTGAGGCCAGGGCCAGGGGGTTTGGCCACCTGCCTCACAAGTACAAGGTCCCAAGTTTGATCCTTGGAAAAAAAAAAAAAAAAAAGTTTGAGGCCAGCCTGGGTGACACACTGAGTCCCAGGCTAGGATGGATTACAGAGCAAGATTCTATCTGAAAAAAAAAAATGCAGAAAATTAGATCATAAAATTGGCATTCTTTTCCTAGTTGAGCAAGCATAATATAACACAGACCATGTTCTGATGAAATATTTCCACTGTTATACTGTTGCTCGGAAATTTGGGGCAGCTATAGATAGTGTTTGTAAATGTTGCTTTCTACCAACATTATATTTGAAATATATTTGAAATGGCAAGGACAAAAATTAGATCACAGAACACATCGTAGCAGTGTAAGAGGATGATCTGTTTAACATAACATTACAGTTAGCAGATAAATGTGAATGACTTTAAGAAAGACAAGTTTAATTGATGTGAATAAGCAATGAGGAGATGACCTGATCTGGTGCCAGGATACATTTCCTCCTCTGTATGTATTCAGCATCTGCAGTATATCGGGAAAATACACTGTATCCAAGATAGGAGCATGGAATCTCATCTTGGCCTCCAGATGCTAACAGAATGGCCTTGGAATAATTGGAAACATTGAATGAGATAACATAGGTTGGTTATCTAACAAAAATATCATATAACGAGCTTTCAAAGAACAACCATGTCTATATCAAAGAGTGCACACACATATACACATGCGTGTGTATGCATCTGTAACATGGAGGGAAGAGCTGGTCAGCATGCATTAGCCTTTTTAGTGCCAGATAAACTTCTAAGGATTTCTGATACAGAGATGATAAGAATGCCTATAAAATAATGTATACATTAAAGCATTTTCTAATTGGGGGAAAAAAAAGCACACAAAAAATGCCTTTGGTGTTTTCTTTTTATAGGTGACATCATCTTTCGCAAAGGTCCACCTGGGGACTGGGGACTGCCAGGCCCACCAGGGTCCCCAGGAATTCCAGGAGTCAGTGGGCCCAAAGGTTGGTTCAATGAATAGTGCTTTTCTGTGAGACTGAGCCATCATTCTCACCAACCTCTCCCTCCTGAGTGATCCTAAACAGCAGTCAGTTAGGGATGATCTAAAAGAATTAGCATGCATCTAGAAATCAGTGATTCATTTAGCGTAAGTTGTTGGATAGCCTTCGAATGTGCATTTTACTCTACAGGTAAGGAAAGAAACCCTGAAATAGTCACTGTTTTGTGCTGAATTCTTGCAATTTCCTCTGTCAGAACTGTACAGCTCAGAACCAAAAACTAATCAGATATATAGTTTTTTGTTATGAATAAGTATAATGTCCTAGGTGATTTTCATGATGCAAAAAAATTTTAAGTGTAACAAATGATTGTATGAATGGGAGATTGCTATCCTGAGGACTTTGTGTGGTTTCTAAGTAATGCACACATACTCTTATTGCAGGAGAACCAGGCCTTCTGTGTGTACAATGTCCTTGTATCCCGGGGCCTCCAGGTCTCCCAGGATTTCCAGGGTTAGATGGTGTCAAAGGAATCCCAGGTATGAACAGTGTGCTCACAAATTTGTGTTTTTGCAAGGCTGTAAGAGTAAACTCATTTGGAAATTTTAAAAAATGGTATTATACTGATACATGTCATGATAAACTTGGAGAAATTGAAAAGCATACTCTGTTAAAATAAAGTCAGCCCAAATCGTATAAAAGCTGGTATTTTTTCCTTGATCCAATTTAGTTGATGAAAATTAGCAAAATAGTACATTAACTGGGAATTGTGGACCCAGATTCCAAAGCAGCATGTAACTTCAACAAAGCAACCATACTGAACATACATGGCCTCCTAATCCACTCTCTCATGTCCTCCTTTTTGATAAAGGCATGGGCATATGCAGCATTTCACCTTCTTCTTAAGGATACAAGTGCAATAAAAATTACAATACTGTCCTTGTGCTGGGGACAATATGGAGTGGGATTGCAGGACACAGAAGGCACATTTAAAGTGGGCATGAATCGGTCAGCTCAGCCTGCTGTACTTTCCAACATTTTAGGCTCTGTCTTAATAAATCTTCCACTTTTTCTTGAGAAGAAATAAATCATTATGTTCATCTGAAATCTCAAGATTTTAGAACCTAATGGTGTCCATTAAACCAATTTTTGAAGGAAAGGGGGAAAAAAATACTTCATAGACCAAATGACTGAGGGTACATGAAGCCCGTCTCAGGCCTTCCCTTGGCAACCTCTCCGCCCAGTCAGGACTTTCCACATCACCACTGTGACAAGCTGCCCTTCCCTTGGTCACAAGACTGGCCGTGGGCAGAACTTGCAAATAGATGAAGTCCTTCTGTGTTGGTTTATTTCCTCTGTCCCTTCTCCTTGGCTGCTCTGGAACTTTCCTGAGTTATCACACCCAGTCTGGATTCTTCCATCAGCACCTTGGTCTTCATACACCACTCACTTTATTTATCATTCACCAGAAAGTGTCCAAGTCACGGAGCCCTTGGTCAGTGTGTATGTACTGGGCTCATTGTCTATGAGCCTCTGTTCCTTTATTTCTCACGTCAGTCCCACAATAGGCACTATCATGAATCCCATCCAGCAGATAGGAAGCTGAGGCACAGTACTAAGGGGCGGAGCTTGGAATCCAAAGCAGACTTTCTCCAGAGACAGGCTTTTGCCTTCATCACTCAGCTTCTGCGATGTCACCTGCCTCCTCTGGGCCTGTCCTTTGAGAGGAGTCAGCTCAAAGGTCTTCCTAGCACCCTGGAGGCAGGGCGTCCACATTCACACTGCCCATAGATGTGTGCCAGGGTGTAGGGTCTTTTGGAGGCTGAGTCAGTACAGAGCAGAAGAGTTAATGTAGGCTAAAACAAAAAACGGAGGAAGAGCGAGAAAGGAGACAAAGAACAAAAGATTTTTAAAATCTAGTATTCCTGTACTTCTGTTGTGTCTCACTTCCAGGCCAAGGTGCAGGGTTAGACCAGTTGCGTTACTGTGTTTAGTTTCTACACATTTGACCTGGACAGTAAGAGCTCAAAGAAGTTAAGCAATCGGCACAATGCTTTGGGTTGCTATAAAAATATATCCTAGCTCAGTATCTTGCAAAAAGAAAAGAGACTCCAGATAAGCATCTAACTGACCTGCGAACCATCCAAGAGATCATTAGAAGGATCATCATCCCACAGATATTTAAATACCCGTCACAAATATACAATTGCACGGTCAAATGCCATTTGACAAAGAGATCGAAAGCCTCTGAAAATGTGCCCATTTGGCCCTGTAGTTAGACTTTTTAGAATTTATTATATAAACTTGGAAACTAACTTGGAAAACTAAATATCCAGAGATATTTATCATAGCATTGTTTACAGTAGTTAAAAGTTAAAAAAACAAACAACACCTTAGTGTCTAAAAACACCAGTTAACTAAACAAATATGGCTCATGGCTCATCCACACAATAGGCTAAGTAGCCATCTTAAATGAAGTAAAAATCTGTGTTTATTGACATGTAGGGAGTGATTCCAATGTAATATATATAAGGTAATATATA